GAAATCCAAGGCAAAATTCACAAAGATGCAACAGTAAAAATTCAGTGTGGAGCTTAAAGGTCAAACTTAGTACTGTTTGTGTGAAAACACTTAAATCCAGCATTAGAAGTTAGTTCTGAAAAGGATGTACATGTGCATAAGACCTCGTGTGGTGGATAGGTGAGGTACAAATACAGATGGGGTAGCTTGGTTCCCTGTCTGAACCAGAGGACCATGGTTAGTATACCAAGGGACACTAAATAACATCATGCAGGCTCATGCATGCTCATTGAAAGTTTCAGTCATTAGGGTTCCCACAAAAACAAATTCTACAAAATCCACTCTCTCACATTTCAGACTGGTTGTTTTATATCTTGACATCAGAAAGTGCATTTTAGTAAACTGTAAATTAGGACAAGAGGGAATCTTCCCCTATTTTCTTTGGAGAGAACGTTGGATTGCAAATGATTTTATCTTTGAATTCCAATTTAGAATGCAGTAATGTACAGTCCAATGTTTTACACTGACTGGTGTGAAGCAGGGGAAAATTCAGACAGAAATTAGGAGGACTGAGTACTCATTAGCTGCAAAGCAGATGGTAGCCAGCTGGAGAATAATCAGAATAATCTTTCATAGCCTTGTCTTTTTGCTGGTCTGAAAGGACAGCCCCAGAAATACACTCGTAAAAAAATGAAGACTCTTACTATTGAGGTCAGTTCAGACAGAAGGGCTATTAATAACTTTTGGGGGTCTGAGTGTGGTGGGAGAGAAAGATGTTCTACACGCTGGGGAACCTCATACCTATCTGTACTTCAGACATAGATCTTCAACAGACCCTGCATCCTCTGACTTCACAGTCAGGCTAAACACTCATACTATGCCCTTGCACTGTTTGCAAAGAACACCTGACTTCATTCCACTTTTCTTTAAATAAATTCATTATTCAGGTTTAACTAAGTAGCTTTTCTGTTTACACAAAATGAACCATGGAACTAGACACCCTCTGCACATATTGATAACAACCTAAATAAAGGATGTTTGCTACCTAATCTAGGGGATAAAGACTAACTTTTTGGTGGCAAGACACAGTCTTTTTCCAGTGCCAATGGTCTGAATAAAATCTAGGAAGTTTTACACCTGGAAATACATTAACCATTTTTTTCACTTGGAATTTTTTTAAATATTGTGGTTATTCAATCTATTCCTCGACATTCAAATTGAAACAATATAGTGTAGGTTTATGAATCTAATTAAAGACTTTCATAAGTCACTTTTTGTGTTGTGTGATTTATTTAATGTACCTGCCTGCATCCTCACCTGTATGTAGATGGAGCTGCAATAAACAATAGTAAAAATGCACAATCTTTCCGTAAAGTCATGGATCACATCATGAATGCAGTATTAGTATCCTCTGCATTATTTCCCCCGACTGTAGACAATGAATGGGCACTGAATGAAGAACTGAAGTGTTCTATACAGTACATATCACCTTCAGTTCTTTAGCTGTATTATTGCAATTTCTTTCCCATTTTCTGGTAGGGATGTAATCTCCTAGGAAAGGAGGAACACATCACATGTTTATCTGTATAGAGTTCCATTTCAGAAAAGAATACTTGCTAGATTATCTGACTAACTCCACATCTGGGGTGTGAATCCCTGTGGATTTAAAGCATGTCACAGATGAGCACCGTGCTGGTTATCATACTTCAACTTTACCAGCTGGTAAATGCTTTTCTGCCTTGCCAAGGTCATCAGGCCCTTAGTCAGCAGCTACATTGTAAGCCACAACAACCTTCCTTGATGCATTTCCTAGACAGGAACTAGAGCAGGATGCTCTGGAGATCTGAATTCACTGTAACATCAGCCACAAGTGCTGCCCCACACAAGGATATAGATTTAGAGTGATGAAATAGGACAACATTTTGGTTTTCGGGTGCTATAAAGACCACATGCCCTTGTATATGAAGTTCTGTGTGGAGCATGGCTCTGTATTCCCTTGGTGGGCTCAAAAACTGAGATGCTTACAGAAATCAAACCTAGGGCAACAACTGTCAAAAATTTTGTGTCCTTGGTATAGATTTGCACTAACCTCTTCCTATACAGTTATATTTATAGACAGACATCTTTTACATAAATATGAACATGTAATTCTCTCTATATTCCGTAGATGTATTGTTATATAGGTATGTATGCCTGTGTGGCCACTACAATACAGATAAAAAATGATCTCTGCAGTATGCCATCCCCAGAAGGTAAAAGCAAAGCACATCTCACAGGCTTTATGCTGCAGCCACCTTTGCTGAATTGTCTATGTCTTGCAATCTCTAATGATTGCTGCATTGTATCTAACTTCTACTAAATATCTGTGTAACCAAATAGAGCTCATGTTCCTGAAACTTGCCTGTTGCTTTGCTAGTTGACAATGAAATATGGCTGTAGCCATTGACTGTATCTATCAAAATGCCTGAGATAAATCTTTTATACTTGCTAGTTGACTGAGGACACTTCCACTTGCATCTATAATGTTCATTGCCCTGTACTTCTGTCTTCTGGAGGAAGAACAGTCATATCATCACAGTCATCAGACAAGCTGACGTTAGTAAGGGACTACTGCTTGAAGTCTCAGGAGGGATACCACAGATTCAACGGTCCTTAGACAATAATCTAGTTCTCATTCTGGAGATGCTCTATTCAAGGAGAGGATCAAGAGATAACAACAAAACAGAGAAGTAGGCTGACACTGGTATTCGTCAAGCTGTACCTCTTTCATAGATAACCACCAGATTCTAAGCCTCTTGGAGTCAGTGAGAGTCTCCCTACTATATTCAGCAGAATTTGAATGCTACCTAAGGACATGTCAGTAGTGAAGGCTGTCAATCCAACAAGCTTGATAATGGTCACTCATCACTCATTTCCAGTTAGAAGACTTTAAACTCAGAAGACACTCATTTTAAATCTTTTAATTCTAAAACCAATACTATAATAAAGCAGAAGAGTTAAAACTGTAGTACTGCTACAGATGAACACATAACAAAGCGCATGCTTTCACATTCACATTTAATAAAAGACCCCCTGATATGCACATTTCTAATAATAATGTAAAAAATGCTAACTCTTTAAAAGAATAGTGTAAACTATATTATATATTTTGCAGCACTATAATAAAGCAGAGAGTTTCACAATATCTAGGCAGCATTTGAGTAAAGGAAATGGTTATATTAAAGGACATCTCTGGGCTCTGGATAACGGAAATGTTTATTTTGCTAAGATTACAAATAAGGTAACTGTACTTTATCATGTACTAATATAAAATTCAAACATAGAGAAAGGAATCTTTTAAGTTTAGAAAAAAAATGTGACACCAATTAAAAACTTCATTTTTTTTAAATTTAGGTGGACTTTATATTGGAATCTCATGTAACAAGATCAGCTCAGTAAGTCCCTTGCTGACATTCTGGTACCCTTCAAGTGGCAGCATTCCCACAGACTTCTCAGACAGAATTTCACTCAGAATGTTCTATATTTTTCTGTGGATTGCAACTAAGTCTTCCACAATTACGGAGGATTTAGCTTTCTACCTCTGTTAGGTATCTCTGAAGAATCTAACATTACCACTGCGTTTACTTCCCACAGAAGCTGAAGGAGGACTATAGTGTGACTCTCCTATTATTATCACACAGCACATATTCAGCATTAGATGTATGCTGGCTACATGGGAACATGGACAACAAGTCAGCTGCTTGTTTAAGCCACAGAAATTTATACCAGAAAAAGTGCACCTACATGTGTGCTTTTGTGCTTGATCCAGGTCAGACTGGAGGGTAAGGGAGCAGAATAAGGAGGAGTAAATGGTGCTACGTCACTCATAGTCCTTTCTTTTCACCTCCTCCAAGTTAGCTTTGGCCAGTCCAGTTCACATTATGATGGAACTGCTGTGACTCTTGGTATCTTTCCTTCCTCTGTTTCACCTATCTAATTTTGTTAGACTGTTAATCAGCTCAACTGGACTGGTTAAACTTTTCAAAATACATTAGCCCTGAGAGGTAATTTATTGCCATAAATAAAACCCTAAAAAGTATAAACAGGGTCCACTGTACATATGCTTTGTCTTTAAAGAAAGTTGACACCAGCAATGTTTACAGAACCACGCTCATCGAGAGATCACTCTACGTGTAGTAATGGGTCTCTCTTTACAGGAAATGCTTGCTCGGGAATGACCTTTTCAAAACTGTGTCCTAAATTACATAGTGACTCAGAGAGCTGCCTGGTTTCAGTCAGACAGCTAGCCAGCAATAGTAGGTTCACCACCACTTTAGTCAAACCAACTCCATAACAGGAGCTAATGTTAAGAGCAGTTTTTCGGAGAAATCCCAGAGCAGCCAAATACAAGGGCAGCTGTAATGCATGCTCTTCTGTTTAACAACAGCATGCAACGTCTTTCATTTATCTCCCAGGATTTTCAGATCTCTGTACCAAGATGGCAGGTATCACTAAGTGTTGACTCTATGGAAATACCCCTGACTTCCTGCTTAATTCTTCTTTCTACGCTCCAGGCAATGGAGCTGAAACAGAAGCAGGAGCACAAATTCTCATTTCGATTTGTAACCACTGTGATTGCAGTGCTTCATCCTCCACTTTCAATGGGCTTTGCTTTCTAACACAATACAAACCTAAATTTTCCCTTTCACAGCACAAAACCAATCACACCGACAAGGTTTATCATGCCACTAGATAGAAACACTACACTGTTTCCTTCTTTCCTGACATTTCCAGCTTACAGGCTGGAATGTCCAGCCAGATGGTTTTGAAGCGATGGAGGCTGCTGGCAGAGGATTACCCAGCAAAACCAAACCAACAAGTAACACTGGGAGCTAACTTCTGTCTTAGTAGCTGGTGGGCCAGTCTTATTTATAGCTCCTCCAGATGAGTTTTTGCTTTTTTGTGTTTTTCCTCCACTGCTGGGAGAGAGATACCTGTGAATAAGTTCTGCGCTAATACATTCACTAGGCTAAAGGAGTGTGCTAGTAAGCAGGACTGGAGAGAAGATCACTGGGAAGGACACCTGGTATCATACTAAACGAAGCTCTGTTGGAGTCCTGAAGAGTCACAGAAGTGCTGGTGACTGCCTTCTGGGTGGCAGAGACTTTCCTACCTTCAAGCCAGTATGTTACCATGTCTCCTTTACCCTAAGGAAGAAAATGAGTCATGGGGTTATAATACTACCCATTATTTGTGTAATTATCTTCTTATTACAACTGAAAGCAAGTGCCAAAAAGAGACGGATGTGCCTGACAGCCATTTTACACACACGAAGACTGAGGCATAATACTTTTCATTAAAAGAGAGTCGCAGTGCTGTGTATTAAAACCATTGTTTGAAGTCCATCCAAAACTGGGTTTGGAAGTATGCTAGTCCTCTTATGGAACTCTTCTGATGATTTATGACATCTCTGAATGACCTTTTGTTGATTTCAAGTGGTTATGACAAAGTGACGCCACATGGTACTTCAAGTTTGGCTAAGTCCTTCACCTCTGAATTATCCGGTTTGTCCCATAACAAGCCCATGGAATTGGTCCTGATTTAAAACTTGAACCTGCTTTCTTCAGTGGCAGGAAATGGTCTAACCCAAGGACTCTGAGACATAGAGGACTGCATGGGTTAAAATTCAGACACTCCAGAGTACTTTCACACTTTCCTTTCTGAAAAACTGAGTATAAATGTTGCATACACACCTTGACTTGTAAATTCCCACGGCATACTAACACATACTCTCCAATCTGCTCCAACAGCTGGTATGCACTTGAACTGCACTGTATTTTAAGAGCTGCAAAGAGAGACAATTGTCATATTATCATAACAATTTAAGCGTCTAGGACAGCCCCGTCCCCCTCTGCATGCCAAAGATTTCAAGACTCATTAACGAACTGCCCCTTGCTTTTTCCATGTCTTTGCTGTCATTCCTCTGTTACTTGAAAAGTTCACATACAAGCTCCAGTATCCTGGCCACTTTGAGAGGGCATTTCAGGACAAATACATGGCTGTCAACAAACACTACTCTTCACATCCTGCATCTAATATTATTTGTCTACTCTGAAGAGCTGCCTGGCTGGAGTTACTGACGAGTACCCTTTTCATCTTGTGAAGAAAACCGTACATAGTTCCACCTCCTGGTCAATAAAGAGCCAGCGTTATCTTTGCACAGAGAGTTTTCAGCAAAGTCTAAACATAAAGAAACTGCCATCCTTGCTTTAACTCCAAACCTGTAAATAAAAACATGGGGAAGAGACAATATTACAATAATTCCACGATCTTTTTTTAAACAATGTGGTTTTTCCTGAGTTGAGAACTTATTTTCATGTAAACCCTGGCTAGCCTGCCTTTTGCGGATGATGGAGGAAGAACCAAAGAAGAGGACATATAGAACAAATTCTAAATACTTCTACGTTTGCCAGAAATCAAAATTTTGCCAAAATTTGGAAAATTGCCAAAAAATCCCTGGTTTGATTTTTTTGCCTTTAATGTTCTGCAGCACAGACTAAACCATTACACTTCTTTGTCTGAACAAGATCCCAGAGATATTAGGACTGCCTAAGATTGTCTTGTTGATTTTTCTTGTATCAGAAAATGATGGGTTTGTAATATATACCTTTTTTCTTTTTTTAAAGTTTTTTATTGACAGTCCTGAAACACAAAACACTCCTTGTGAACCAGGATATTTATGCTTCATAGATTCATAGAATTATAGAATGGTTTAGGTTGGAAGGGACCTTTAAAGGTCATCTAGTTCAACCCCCCTTCAATGAGCAGGGACATCTTTGACGAGATCAGATTGCTCAGAGACCCGTCCAACCTGACCTTGAATGTTTCCAGGGATAGGGCATTCACCACCTCTCTGGGCAACCTGTGCCAGTGTTTCACCACCCTCATTGTAAAAAATTTCTTTCTCATATCTAATCGAGATCTACCCTCACTTAGTTTAAAGCCATTAATCATTGCCCTAACACAACAGGCCTTGCTAAAAAGATTTTCCCCAAATTATCCGTAGCATATTATCCTTCAACGTATCCAGATACCTCTCTCTGAAATACTCTTTCCAGTAGATATGTGATATTTTAACTGGGCATCCTGCTTGGGAACAAGACACTAGCACTCAGATTCCAGCTGATAGCAGTTTTAATTTACATTGCTAGTAATTAATTAATCTATTTTAAAGTGATCATCTTAGGGTTAAAACATGTTCGTGTAATTTGAGATCCTAGATGTACAAGGCCAGAGAAGGAAGGTCATAAAAGAGAGACTTAAAAGATCAGAAGTTCTGTCTTTATACTTCAGTTTATATTGTTGATGCACCGTGTAAGAAATAGACTCACATACAGAACAAAAGTTGAAATATGAGAAATGATGGATGCAGATTTTGAAGGCATTAGTTTTAAAGCAGTTCAGATGAGATGACACAAGGAGCTTGAAAGGAGGAGGAGGGGGAGGAGAAGGAAAGGAGTTATCTGGGAGACGGACAGAAGGAAAATGAAGTTATATGTGTTCCACTCAGGACAGCATTTGCTTTGAAAAAATGTATAAGATGGTGAGAAGGAATGTGTTATGGTTTGGCTGCGGCCGGCAACAAAAGCACTACGCGGCTGCCCCTCCCCCCGCCGGGGTGCGGAGGAGAATGGAAAGAAACAGGCAGAAACTGGTGGGTCGGGATAAGGGCAGTTTAACAGAACAGCAAACAGAGGGAACAGGAACAACAACGACACAGAAAAAACGGGAATACACAAAACAAAACAGAACACAGGGAGAGCCGCTCTCACCGCCCGCTGCCTAGAGTGAGTTCCCGCCGCCCCGCTCCCCCCCACCGGAACCCAGCATGATGGCACATGGTGTGGAATACCCGGCTCTGTTTGGCCAGGTGGGGTCAGCCCGCCCGGCTGTGCCGCTTCCTGGATTCCGGTGAAAATTAACCCTGTCCTGGCCGAACCCAGGACAGAATGGATTCTGGCTGATTCTCAAATCCCCAGGCTAAACCTTCAAAGCTGTCGTGCTGGAACACTCCTCTGCCTTTCTGCCTTGTTTTTAGTGGATTGTGATAGACGTTGAAGGCATCACTTTTTATCATGAAAGTAAACTTGAAAATACCTTGGATTTTGCTTAATTCAAATCCATTTAAAAGCATTGCAATGTGAGCAATAAAACTATTCACCTTCATTTCATGAATGAAAGAAACAAAAGCAAGCCATCAAGGTTGTTTGACCTTGAAATATTCCCTCATTCTTTTTTTCAGTTCTTGTAGATTAGGCTAAAATATTTCAGAAACTGAGGTTCAAATGCTCTTACTGGCTAAAGATGAAGCTTGCTAACTACATGTGGAGCTCTGTTAGCTCCTGGGAAGAAGCGGAAGTGAGGATACCTCCATGACTTAACCTCTAGAGATTTCTGTCTAATCTCTTTGCTGGGGGACACATACATAATCTTCTATACTGGTTAAGGACAGACACAGCTCCCATGTTGTCATACCATCTCTTGTGTTCTCCAACAGAGGAAGTTATTAGCAAAAAAGAGGAGCCATGAACATATTTTTACTATAAATTCAGCTGGGTGCCAGGAAGGAATGGACACAGTGGACATATCCACTTACCTCTCATTTTTTCTGATTCTTGCACTTTTTTTATTGTAAAGAGCATCAAAGCCATGAAAATCCCTCTTTGAGACTTGAGGAACAGGGGATCTTGTTCCAAACGCTGTAAAGAATATCACTGGTATAATTTGCCCACAGGCAGACTGGACCCAGAAATCACCACTGTCCTTACCGGGTGTGCAGTCATTTAAACAGGACAGGACTCAAACCTCAGCATGACATTTTTTCAGAACTCATTAATGGGTGGTCAAAACCACATCCACAGTTTGTTCCTTGTTACCTTCACTGGTAGATTCCATCCTGGAAGCTGTATTCACAGTATCTCCAAATAAACAATACCGTGGCATTTTGGTCCCAACAACTCCAGCTACAACTGCCCCTGTTAAAGTAAAGAAAACCAGATATTTTTTGGTTTTAAATAACATAATCAGTCATACAGCCTCATGGCTGCATCCTACATTACCTTATATCTCAATCATTAACAAGACTGAGTATCAGTACTGTCTTATATGGGTTATACATCTGACTTACAGATGCCTTCCAGACCCATGGAAGGAATTGCAAAAGGGCTTCAAAGGAGAATAGTGAGGAATGTGATGATGGGATGCAGGTAGTATGTGTGAATTAAAGCACCTGCAGAATCATGTTTCAACACAACAACAGAATATTTTGAGAGGCAGTGAGGTAGGAATACCACCAGCTGGAGTTGTTTATGCATCACTCAATAGTCACATGAAAGCAGAAAATGAGCATTTTGATTCCTTCATATCAGCCCCATGGAATTTAAAATATAGAAGACATGATCTTTTGCTAAGACAATGTAAGCTGCTTAATTTGTAGATCTAGGCTGCACAGCACATGTCCAACCACAGCTGTCTATCAAGAAGGAGCTGCAATCACACAACAGCTTAGGTCAGGGAGCTGGGAGTCTTGAGAATGAAGGCTAGATCAAAGAGTCAAGAAGTAACTCACTGTTTTGAGAACAGAGGAGCAGAAAAGGACAAATAACAGACACAAAATGGCAGTCCTCACTCACATCTGCAAAGGCACTGGGACCATGTGGTTTTGCCAATGTTGCATTCCACATTGTGTTCCCAAGTATCCAATAATCTATTCTGTTGGGATGAACTCTATGAGGTGCTCCATCCCACATCAGAAATTAACTTCACTTTTAAACAAGAGGAAATGCCACTACAGAAATATTTGTTAAACCAGAGGAGGACTCTTGCTATGCCCTTGCAACATACCTGAATGGATTCCTGCTCTTATCTTTAAGAGGGTGTTGGGCTTGTGTGGGATCTTAAAAGTCTTGCAGACATCCAGAAGGTCTAAAGCCATGCTTGCAATCTCACCAGCATGAAGGATACCATTCTCTTTGGGTACTCCCGACACCACCATATCTTAACACAACAATGCAACTGTGTTAACCTTTGGCATTACACACAGATCTATCAAAGGATGCTGCCTAAGTTAGAAAAAAATAAAGCCCTATTCCTTCCTATCCCACAGCACAGTTGTGCCTGCTGAGCAGACAAAGCCAGAAACAAATGAAGAATAGGGCAACAGCTGATGTGGGCAATTAACATAGCTCTGAAAAATGTTGGATTTCCTTCTTACTTTTCCATAAGATTTATTCCCTCATATGCTTTCTTCCTCCCTCCCCTCATTGAGGATGCATGGCGTGAGAGAGGTAGTGGGAAACTGGTTGCTCAATACCTTTTGTCTTTGGACAGGTATTATAAAGAGAGACAATGATTCCAGCAGGCATTGTCCTATGCTTCCTGCACTGACTCTTACTGTGTATGGGAAGAGACAGGTGGGTTTTTTCCACATCTCTTACAGGATTTCTTGTATGTCTCATCCAAAAATCCTGCTAGATTCTGCTAGGTGTTTGATGGAACTTAGTTTTAATGGTAGTTCAAACCCCAGCAGATTCCCATGGTAGCAAGTAGAAAGCCATTTTCCTAAAAATCCAGAAAGAAGAGGCAGCCAAGCCTCCACAGAGTATTAGGAGACAGAAGGTTGTCATGGTCTTTGCAAAAAAGAGAGATAATAAAGCTAATGGAATGGCATTTACATTCTCACATAGAAGGTAAATTTTTCAGTTGTGTTCCTGTGAAACAGAAGTTGCCAGCTGGCATTAATTTGTTGCTGTGGTTTAGTGTCAGAACTTAACAGGTCATAAGAACCAAATAAACAGCAGTGGTAGTTTACTGAACTCATTTGTCCCATCCACAACATTAATCAACTGTAGAAATGATGAAAGATATGCAGGAAAGTGTTCCTAAAGTTTGCTAGGGCTCTGCTAGGACTTTTCTTGTAGTTGTTTTTTGTGGTTTTCACAGTGGTAATAAACTTTCCAAATCTCTTTCATCTGTTCTTCCTTGGCATCAAATCAGTCTCTATGCTGATGAAATACCCATGCCCCAACACTGTCCACAGCTCAAGGAACTTACAGGCATCTCCTATTGTCTCCACCTTATAGACATCATAGTTATCTATGATTTCATCAAAAGTGGTATAAAGCTTGTTCAAGAGATCTACCACTTGGTAAGGTGTGCTACTGCTGGACAGCTGAGTGAAGCCAACAATGTCACTGTTAAAACACAACAAAAAGAACACACTCATCCACTGTCTTAACCATTGCAGATCGGCAATCCGAAAGACACAGTAATAATTTCTCAGTGGAACTACCTCAACCTTCTCCATTTCAGCATTTCTTTCGCTAAGGATCTTACAGAATAGTTTTGTCTTCAGACATTTAGTTAACTTGAAAACAGACTCTTTCCATTTAAAAAGACTGACCAACCTAAGCCTTTTTGCTTACCAATGCAGTAAACCATTTTTTACAGCTAGACTTTAATCTGTGACAGACTAAGTAGTGTTCAGTTCTTGGTTATGTACAAGTGAAAAAAGGGAACTTAATATCTGTCCATTTGTGATAAGTGAAGACATGCAATTTATGTGTTGCTTCATGCACACATAACAAGTCAAAGACTGTAAATCCATGCAGACTCTAGGGATAGACAAGTTTCCTTCACGCATACTGAAACCTTTACTTCAGTTTATCTTACGAAACATACTTGCGTGTGTGTGTAACATACATAAAGTGCCATGCTGCTGTGTCTTAGAGCTCCATGGTAATCTCATTCGATATTTAAGTAATGATAATGAAAAATGGAGGGGTGTGAGAATTTGGAAGGACACTCATTTGCACAGTTAAATGTTGCTACCTGGTATGACAAATGCCAGTTTAGATAGAAATTCTGTAGCAGTTAGGAGCTGCACCTCCACTAGAAGCCTAGAAATTTCATCAGTAGGAGTCAGTTCTAGTCCTATCTTTCACTTTTGTTTACCTGAAAAAGATGGTGGCACTTAAGTAACTTTGAGCTTGTGCATGTTTTCCCTGCCTGAGATCATCTGCCACTTGCTTTGGCAACATACCTGTTGTAGAAAGTAAAGTGTTGTTACTCCTTTGCCATGGATAATAGCACACAATAAACAGAACACATTTGTTTAAAGGTATAAAAGCAATGTTCGTAAATGTGAAATATTCTGAAGGTGAAAGCACTCTTTAGCATCAAAATCTGCTCTGCTGTAACATGAGAATTCAAAGTAAACCTCACTGATAACAAGTCCAGATTGTTCAGATGACCCATAACTTGCAGTTCAAGCAAACCAGTATCTATATATTCCAAGTAAGTGTAAGGTTTGATTCTAATAGTGTGACCTGGGATATTACTAACCCCTTCTTTGTCAGCTCTTTGGTAGTGTTTTCTTCCTGTGTTAGGTTTGTTTACTATCTCCTCTCATTTTTTTTTGATCTTCATTATTTCTCCTATCTTGCACTTTCACAGCCTTTTTTTCCCTATTCTCTCCTATGTGTTATACCTGTTCCTTATCCCTTTTTCTTGCCGAATTCGAGAAGATACGCTGCCATCAAAAGTAACCTCAGTCCAAAAGCAATTCCCCAGTATTTATAACTATACAGAATGACTTCCAAGCAAGATCAAATTGAAAACACTATGGATTTTGGAGTCATAGCTCTCAGATAAGAGCACTGATTTTTAGGGGGAAAATATAAAACATAGCTAAATATCTTTCCAGCTTTTCAAGGAACAAGTACATTAATTCATTGCCAACTAAATGTTATCTATTAAATAGTCACCTATTGCAGGGTTTCTGTTTGTAAATACACAGTTATTTGAGAAGAATATTGAGAAGAATATGCAATATTTTTGCAACATAACTTACTATACAACAGACGATCAGTCTTCTGCTTTTCATGCATTAAATCCTGGGTTCTCTCAGAAACAAGTGTCTCCAGATGTTTGCTATATTTCTCCATCTAAATAACATAGAGAATTGCATAAAATAATCCTTTTACTGAAACAGAGTCATACTTGGATAGGATTTAAGCATTTGAATGGTTTGAAAACATTCAGATAAGCAAAGGCTCAGGTCTGAGAAACCTAATTTTTTCTTACAAAAAAATCACATTTCTCCGTAAGAAAATTCGTGATTCTAGATTGGGGATTTTTACTTACTCTTAAGACGGCAGAAGCCAATAAGCTCATGTAAACTGAAGGTATCTAAATATCAATCTTTTATCAAAAGCTCACAACACTGTTGCATAGACTATCATACTATGCTATGTTATGCTATGCTTTTTGCATCCTTGCTCTGTGTGAGGCAACAGGCTGTGGAGGCAGGAGTCTCTTTTCTCTTCTGATGGGTTTAAGATACTCTGCTCAAAATGCATCTGAAAAGATGTTATTTGTGGCCTGCAGGGATTCTTTATCCCCAATACCCTAAGAGCACTACTGACCACTACTGGAAATAGGAAATACAGTTTCTTGCAAGTGCTTTAAAAACAAAACAACATTTCATTGAAGAAGTAAAAGTTTTCAGCCTCAAAGCAGCTGAGAAAATTAAGATAAACTGACAGAAATGGAATGAGAAGGAAAGCTGAGTCTCAAGCAGAATCACAGCTACGATCAGCCCACCAGATGTGAAAGAAATGACTGTGGACTTTCTCATCAAACAAGGGGTATGAGATCAAAAAACAAACCTGAAGGGTAGAGGTGAAAGCTATTGCAAGTTAGCAGATTGACTTGGACTGGATTAAAAAACTAAATTTACCAGAGTCATCATCATGTCAACAGGGCTAACTTTATTAGGATTCATCTTGTATAACATTTTCTTGACTTGTTCAAATGTAGGCCTTTGGGCTGGGTTATTTTTTCTGCACCTTCTGATTAACTGCAGCAAGGAAAGAGAGTGAGAAAAGCAAACAGCCTTTTGTCATTCCAAGCACAGGCAGTGTTTCAAATTAATATCACTATTTTCTCGGTGCAAACTGTCCATGTGAAGCCCTGTCTGCAGCTGGTGAAAAGAGGCAGAGCTTTTCTGAGGTCTCCGGGGTTCTACAGATTTATACAGAATGGAGAATGTTAGCTTGTGAAAATAGTGCTGGGGGAATCATGTATAGGGTGCTCACATTCCTTCTGCCAAGCACTGCTTAAGCTCTTGTGCTTGAAGACAGTCTTATGCCATTGGAGTCACATACTGTTTTCAGAGGACTTGTACACAAAATTCACAAGACATTAAAAACTCAACTACTGCTTAAGAATATTAACTTCTGGCTAAAATACAGTGCTGCTTATGAGAAGTTTGTTACGTTTAGGTTACTAAAACCCACCAAAGGTGACTTACATAGTTCTTAAGCCGAAACAAGGATGCCACAATGTTGTTCTGGTTTAATTGAACTGGGAGGGGGTGTACTCTGTTTTGTTAGGCAGTTTGAGGCTACTGAACACATAGAACTTCTGCATGAGAAGCAAACCAAACTAATACGTTGCTTGAGACACATACTTCACTATTTGAAAGTCCTTTGCCAGTAAGCAAAATAGATATTATTAATATAAAATATGTATGGAACTCAACACATTATAATAAAATGAAAATACACAAAAATCAGTGGTTGAATATTAAAAATGTCATTTATTTCACTGACAATTTGAGGGGACAACTGAAACTTTCAATTTGTCAGAATGACTGGTTTTTATTAATAATATTAAAGCAGAAGGCTGTACTGCCATTCAGCGTGACCTGGATAGGCTGGAAAGTTGGGCAGAGAGGAACCTGATGAGGTTCAACAAAGGCAAATGCACGGTCCTGCACCTGGGGAGGAACAACCTCATGCATCAGTACAGGCTTGGGGTGGACCTACTGGAGAGCAGCTCTGTGGAGAGGGACCTGGGCGTCCTGGTGGACGACAGATTAACCATGATCCAGCAGTGTGCCCTGGCTGCCAAGAAGGCCAATGGGATCCTGGGGTGCATCAAGAAGAGTGTGGTCAGCAGGTCGAGGGAGGTTCTCCTTCCCCTCTACACTGCCCTGGTGAGGCCTCATCTAGAGTACTGTGTCCAGTTCTGGGCTCCCCAGTTCAAGAAAGATGAGGAGCTACTGGAGAGAGTCCAGCGGAGGGCTGTGAGGATGAGGAGGGGACTGGAGCATCTCTGCTACGTGCCCAGTGACAGGACAAGGGGCAACGGGCACAAACTGAGGCACAGGAAGTTCCATCTGAACATGAGGAAGAACTTCTTCCCTCTGAGGGTGATGGAGCCCTGGAACAGGCTGCCCAGGGAGGTTGTGGAGTCTCCTTCTCTGCAGATATTCAAGACCCGCCTGGACAAGGTCCTGTGCAGCTTGCTGTAGATGTCCCTTGCTTCGGCAGGAGGGTTGGACTAGATGACCCACAGAGGTCCCTTCCAACTCCTACGATTCTGTGATTCTGTGATTCTGTGATTTCATTGTGCCTTGTTTGAGATGTACTTCTGGACTTTTGGGTTGTTTACATTCATCAAAAACGATATTGCCATAATATTTCCATGACGTCTTAAATTCACTTCAAAAAAGATTTTTTGTAAACAATATTTATCTTACTCACCTCTACGTAATCTGTGGGACATGGGCAAGAATTCTCAGCCTTTCCTGAAATTAATTCTGCCAAAGGTGGGCACCAAGAATATTCAGGTGAATGCATATCATCTTTCTAGAGAAAAAGGGATCAAAAAATGTTGAAACAAGTGATGTGTTTTTCATACTGTCCACTGGAAATATATTACTGTGGTCATCATTACTTTTATGACGTCTTCTCTATTGCTTCCAGATCATCTTTTTTATACGAGAGTACAAGAAAAAAAAGGATATAACCTGTCTAAACTGGGTGGCCTTTTCTAAAAGCTTTTTCAGAGCTGAGAGACTTTAATCTCAGTGTTTATATGAGGTAAACAACTTTTTAATCAAATGAATATCTGGCAAGATATTGGGAAACTTTTGAGAAACCACAAAGCCTACATTGGTTTACTAGCACAAATTGTCCGAAATGGAAGAATGGTAGTTTCAGGTCTTTGTTGTTAGAATTCTTGTTATTTTAGATAGAACTTGCTTATATATCCAGAACATCTGGTTTCAACTTCCAGATGCATTTTTTGTGTTTGCCATTTAGCACTGATCACGACACATGCAAGGAAGGCATTTTCCTAATGGAGTGCAGCTCATTTGCTCTTCTAGCATATTCTCACCACTGCAAGACTCCACTGAAAGTGCCTGTGCATAGCAGGAGAGGGAAAGGAACAATGGGAGAAAAAGGAAGGTGTTATGGCATGCCTTCCTCCTCCACTCCCCTGCCATTAAGCCTCACAGAGCTAATCAATAGGCAGTTTTGGAGCTGCCTTATTTTTGTCATACACTCTTCTTCAAAGTCCTAGAAGGAAGACTGTAGATGCAAGAGTTGAAGCTGAGCTTGCACCCACAAAGTCAAGAGGAAAAGGCATGCTCAAGAAATAAATCAAAAGTGCAGTTACACATAGAGTTTGGTTTGTATCTTCAGTAGAAACCAAATCAAAATTGTCAAACTTCAAAGTTATTCTTTACTTACTGGCACAGGGTCACTTCTTGTGGCAATTTCTAGTAAAATGATGGCATAACTGCAGAATAAAAACAAACCAAATTTTTAATGAAATAACAGTTAATGGAGTCAGTGGTTTCCTCTTCCCATGATTTCTTATACTTCCCCATTTTATGACTGAAAGCCCAGCATCCCAAAAGAGAGGATGGCAAATGTGCTGCTTACTGTTTGTAACTCCTTGTTACTACTCTGTGTTTTCAGTGATTTGTCACTGATGATTTCATAGCAGTCCTCTCACAGTTATCAGTCTCAGATTGCTGAACATTTGATTTTGACGGACAGCAAAGCAATTTTCTCTGGAAGAATTAAGGGAATCCAGGGGGGACATAGGCAAGCACTTACATGATACCTACCAATTAAATATACAGGACAAGTTTGTGCTGTAATCAAGGGGAAAGAGCAGGTTCATCAGGCTCATCAGCTGGAGGAGTGGCTTCTTTTCAGCATAGATCACCGTTCTGGAAAATCTCCATAAAGTCAATGATGAGACAGTGTGTCCAGAGTAGATCTTTTACAGTAAGCATTTTTGGTGGTTCTTTCTGAATTATATTTTCACCATTATCATCTTCCTCAGATGAACCAAGGTCAAACACGTTCATCAGAGGTATGGAAAAAATGGGTTTACAACCAGGTGTTCAGTCTCCTTATTCAGCTCACTGGAGATCTTTCAGAACAGTGATCTCTCAGAAGTCAGTACCGCCTCCAGCCAGCAATCCTGATAAAGATGCTTTTGCCTTTTTATGTACTGAAATTATGTAATGATTAACTGCCTTCTTGCATCCCTGCTTGATAACATTTATTTTTATGGGGCATATTGGTTTGCAATCTGTTGTATTGCTAATGGTTGCTCTGTTCTGTAAGGCATTCTAGTTGTATAATGGGGCATGTCTACCTATCTTTCAGTCCACTCAAGGACCACACTGGCAAATAAAATAATACGTATGAACTATGCCACATAATGTAGAAATTAATCTGATGAGATTTTTATGTTAATTTTGGGGTGATTTGGTAGCAGAAAGGAACAGCAATCCTGGTGAGACAGCAAAGATGAAATAGATTTGCAAGGAGAGTAATTAGATGATGGTACCTCTGATAAAGCAGTATTGATTTCATTCAGCTTCAGCAGCACTGCTCAGAAAAGTCCTAACATGGTGGATAGTGAAATTCACATAACGATTATAAATCAAGAGGAGCCTATCTAAGAGAAACTGTGTCTGGAAACAGCCTCTTCAGCTCAAACAGGAGCTGTTTTCATGCTCCTGTTCTCATTTCCATTTTAGCTTTCCCATCTGACCAACACATTCCCTGGAGAACTTTAAAAGCAAGTGATTCATGTGTAAGAGCACACAAAATTACAAGTCCCACTTCTACAGTTTCTGTTCATTTTTTATTTGGGCCATACCTTCAGGAATAATAATGAAATTTTTACACAGATAAAAACCGAGGATTTCAAGACTGGGACACTGCTCCCTGGCCAGTGAGCCCACATACATGTATCAGGAAACTTAGCACCTTGTCATATCACAAGTTGTGTTAAAGCACAGAATAGCTCTGTTAGAAAGACAACCTTTTTAATGCTACAGGACACATCTCTATCTTTCTTCCTTGACTGCAGGTTGCTCTTCTCCTTTTTCTGATTTCGTTTCTTACTGGTTTTTCGTTTTTACCAAGAAAGGATGAACTGCAGTACAACGAAAGAAGAGCTGGATTTTGCAGACACGGAGACTGACAGCAAAACAGATTCAGCAAGCATTCACTGATTCTGTCAAAAGCTCATTGTAGTCATTTACGATATGAACAAATCAGGTCTTAGCACTATTTTAAGGGGAGTCATTGGCAAGAAGTGGCTTCAGGATGCCTGGTTGCTGTCAAAATCAAGTAATGATATCTAACCTGAGCAGGGTCAATGTGTAAACCAGGCAAACACCAAGAAAACATTTTCTGGAATGCATTTTTGCTGTAGGGCAATGACAAACTGCAATGCATAAGACAAACCTAAAATTACTGCTTAGCTGGAGCATAGCAGTTTCTCAGAGCAGTCCATGTTGAAAAAGTAAAGACCAACACAGGACAAATAATAACAGCCAGAACTATAAACACAGTGACAAATTACCTTTAGCTGAGCTATTTTAAAGCAAATTCTAAGGGCATGTTTAAGCCTATAGACATAAATACTATTGAGACGTCAAATTCTTGCTTACACAATCTGATAGAATGGGTAACAATTAATAGTGTTCTAGCATATTGTATATGCATACATTTCTTTATAAGGGAATAATGTTTATTAATCTAGTAAATCTTATATATAAAATTATGTCTTCTGTCTATATCATTTTTGATGAATCCTAATTGAAAAAAGGGAAAGATTTAAACAATATTTTCAGTTTCTGCAACTAATTTTTCAATAAAAGCCCCACGACAGTCACTTAAGGCAGTAAGCATTTGTTGTGGCCTAGTGTAGGCCAGAGTAAAACTCAGAGCTTTTGATAAAAGGCACTAATAGCTACTCTTTGGTAAATGTCATCAATGAACTGTGCTAACAACCATGCTACCTTCTGCTCAACTGTGTGGCGCTATCAGCATTTCAATCTCTAATTGAATTCCAGTTCTTTACATTCTTCTAGCTACCAAAGTTACCAGGAAATATATGACTTCTGCTGGGCTGGGACTGTGGCAAGAAAAAGTAAGAGAAAAAGGCCACAAAACATCTTGTAGTAGCATGTGGTAACTTTCTGCATTTTGTCCTTTCAAATGCTTTCAGCAAACTATGGGAAATAAGCAGACAGAGGAAGTATCATTGTTGTGAAACAGAATACACTAAGGACACAGTAATTTTCTTACTTAATACAGAAAATTCATGGGAGAAATTACTGGGAAATATGGGTAACTTTTTAAAATCCTGAGTTCAGTTGTAATCCTGTTTATCTGAAAAGTGGTTGGATAGAAGCTAGAAGGCTTTTGAAAGGAAAGGCATGGAGCTATTCACTAGTGCATTAATTTCCTTTTCCTACCTCTATTTTTTCTCTGCAAACCAAATATTGTCACTGTGTGTATGCAGCAAAATAATGTATTGAGACTAATTATAGAAATATGACTTACAGATGTGCATTTTGACATCCTGTAAAATTGATGCTATTAACTTTTAAGGTATTTCCATTATTGAAAATAATCTACTTTTTTTCATAAGAAAGAGCAAAAAAAATGGATTAGTAGATAATAGCAGTTCTTTATACCTTTTTAAAATACCAGTCCAGAGTAACTCCTTATAAATCATTAGAACAACTCTGCATTTATATAAGGTCAGTGAATTCAGTATTTGGTTATCTGCCTTGAAAGAAGATCCTGTTCTATCTATGCTGTTCTGCATTCCAGGATCAATCATTTTTAAAATACAATCAAACATATACCTGGGGTGAGCACAGAATTACACTGAGCCTAATTGTGATTAAAGACTCCTCAATTTGAGATTATTAAGTGCGAGAAACAGGAAATGTTAACTACCTGTAGACATCTGCCATAGAATTAGGTTCAAAGTCTGAAAGGGAATGGATTTCAGGAGCTGTGTAAATCTGTATCAAATGCTGCTGGTATGAGCTTGACTCTTCAGGAGAATCTTCTTTTCTGTATGACTGCAAACCATAATCTAACAGGGACGAAAACAGGAAGCAAACTACGCAGTGAGTACTTCTCTGAAACACATGCATTAGTAGAGAGAAACACAACTTGTCTAAAGGAATTAATTTTCTCTGTTTGAAATACACAGTCTAAAAATAGTGTGTATCTGTTCGTCGTGTCCCTCTAAACCAATTGCAGATACAGGATCTGGAAACCAATATTTGGGTAGAACTGCATGACATCAATAAAGCTGAACTGCATGGCCCCTTCCAATCAGATTTATTCTATGATATTATAAAACTGTATTCAGAGAACAGGCTCACTTCAGTGCAAGAGTTAGCATGCAAATGCAGATTTCTTTTCTGCTCATTCCCCAATCCTTATCCATAGTGGCAGGTTGTTAGAGTAATTACAAGTTAGACAGACTAGAACTACTGAAAATCAGATGGTGGGCTTTACTTTCTTGCACACCTCTATCTTCAGAAATAAGGCAGAATAAATGTGAAGCATCTTTGCAGCTATACTTTTGGCCTAACACAGAAGAGATTCTCAACATGTGATTCAGCATCGGAGAGGAGCAAAAACCAACTGACTCATTTTTCTTGCTGATATAAACAGCACTCTTCTGAGTCTGTGGGAAGGCAGGATGCAGATATCTGGTTTTGTCTGGAATGTCCTCTAATTAAGATGGTCCTAGAGCACCATTCTTTGTATTGGAGGTCACTGGAGTTTTTCAAATAGCTCCCACATTGGTTATTTGTGAGTTTTGTTTAACACTACCACATCCAGATAAACCATGAAGTCTCTACAGTGCTCCCAGTTAACTTCTGAACAACTTCACAGAAATGCCATTTAATTCAGAGGACCTGTGCTAAAGTGATGTAGTCGATGTAATCCAACTACCTCCATTTTTTATGCTTTTCTCCAGAACAATCTCTAAGCAAAGTAGGCAGCTCTGAAGGCAGCAGGATACTAAAAGCATTGGAGCAGCAGGCACAGTCCTGTGTAGGAGCCTTAGGCATAGGATGAACCATTGAAAGACAAATCTGCTGCTGCTGTTTTTCAGATGATTGCAGGCTATAAAGTGTGATAACTACTTCGGGGAGGAAGTAGAAGATATGATCATTGCTTTCATACCCTTTGAAAGCTGCAAACTAAACTAGATTCTCCAGTGGTTTTCCTGTCCCCACAGGCTGTCTTCCTGTACCAGACTAGACCAGACCTATAGCTCCATCTCTGGGAGAATACAATTCAGTTTTGTGTACAGGACTGAAAAGCTCTGAAGTGAGTCTGCTTTTCTCCATGAAACTACCTTCTGTTTACCAATCAGTCAGCATTATCCCATGCGTTTACAGCACTGTCCATGGCTCAGGTTTTCTCTCTGTATTGAAACTGAGAATGAGACAGAGTTTCTACTCAGACTGATGTTGATAGACTCTATCATTTGTGGGATATGATGTGTGCATCAATGACGCGTTAAATGACTTGACATGTTAATGTAACATGAAACTAGCTTCAGCATGGGGCACTTCTAGTGAAGGCTGACATAGTATCATTTAAAAACATGGAATCATAAAATGGTTTGGGTTGGAAGGGACCTTATACATCACCTTCTTCCAACCCCCCTTCCCTGGGCAGGACACCTTCTACTAGACCAGGTTGCTCAAAGCCCCATCCAGCCTGGCCTTGAACACTTCCAGGGAGGGGGCAGCCACAGCTTCTCTGGGCAACATGTGCCAGTGCCTCACAGCCCTCATCATAAGGAATTTCTTTCTTATACCTTATCTAAATCTACTCTCTTTCAGCTTGAAGCCATTACCCCTTGTCCTATCACTACATGCCCTTGTAAAAAAAGTCCCTCTCCAGCTTTCTTGTAGCCCCCTTGAGGTACTGGAAGGCTGCTATAAGGTGTCCTCAGAGCCTTGTCTTCTCCAGGCTGAACAGCCTCAACTCTCTCAGCCTTTCCTCACAGGAGAGGTGTTGCAGCCCTCTGATCATCTTTGTGGCCCTCCTCTGGCCCTGCTCCAACAGGTCCATGTCTTTCCTGTGCTGAGGGCTCCAGAGCTGGACGCAGGACTCCAGGTGAGGTCTCACCAGAGTGGACCAGAGGGGCAGAATCCCCTCTCTTGACCTGCTGCCCACACTGCTGGGGATGTAGCCCAGGATGCGGTTGGCCTTCTGGGCTGTGAGCACACACTGCCGGGTTGTGTTGAGCTTCTCATCAACCAGCATCCACAAATCCTTCTTGGCAGGGCTGTTCTCAATCCATTGTCTGCCCAGCCTGTATATCTGCTTGGGACTGACCCGACCCATGTGCAGGGTGTTGCACTTGGCCTTGTTGAACTTCATGAGGTTCACACAGGGCCACTTCTCAAGCCTGTCCAGGTCCCTCTGCATGGCATCCCTCCCCTCCAGTGTGTCGACCGTACCATGCAGTTTGGTGTCATAAGCAAACTTGCTGAGGGTGCACTCAATCCCACTGTTCTTGTTGCTGACAAAGATGTTAAAACAGCACTGGTCCCTGTACTGTCCCCTAAGGAACACCACTCATCACTGATCTCTATACCTAAATCTAGATGCTTTACTGGGTTAGATGCACAGTTTTGAAATTTTGTTTCTTATCTTCTCTTTACCTGCAATTTTACAAACCCATCGGTCATCTATCACACAGTTACTAGACTTCAGCCGTCCATGATACATTTTGTGGTGGTGAAGATAGGCCATTCCTTGTGCAATATCAGTTGCAAAAGAAAATCTGAAAGACAAAAATCAATGATCTGGTATTTCATGAAACCTTCACTCAAGAGTGGCTCCAAAGCACTGAAGTTGACAGAAAGCTTCTCTGTCACTGCAATATCTTTCAATTTGTGTCCCCATCCTCATTTTTCCAACACACTTAAGGTGGTTTGCTGAAAGCCCTTAACTCCCACTCAGTTGTCTGAGTCCACAGGCCTTTAGCCTCTTTTAAGACAGTTGAGTTTCTTCTAGAAATTCTCAGTACCTTTGTGTCCTTGAGAGTGCTTTCAATGTTTACAAGAGAAACAATTTTTATTAACTTTCTCACTTTTTTTGGGGGTGTTTCCTCCCTTACAATCTTTTTCTTTGCTGAAGACAAATGTAAGGGAAAAGTAGAAAGAGTGTCCCAAGATTATTCTCAAAAAGCAAAGATGCTGCCTTCACTGAAGTTTCATTGACAATGTGAGCTCATTTTTTCTATTGGTAAATATAATACAGTGTTTGTAGGTATGCTAATAATTTCACCAATATTTATTCACAAACAGAGATGCAGTGATTTTCAATTAAATGGGGATGTCCTAGATATTGGAGAGCAAAATTAAATTACATGGGAAAATGGTTCAAAAGCAGTTTTCCGGTAGAACTAGAGGTGTGTTGAAAAGTTATTGGTTTAGCATGACGAGTGCTAAACATATGATTGCTCAAAAATCCAGAAGACAAGTTGGGCTGGATATTTGAATTCGCTTTCTTTCTTTCTTCTTCATTCTCTCCATATCACAGTGCAGGCCCATCTATTCAGAGTTTGTCTAAAATTACCATCTTATCCTGAACAGCACATAGCACAGCTTGTGTCATTTAGCATTTCAAAAGTTTTTTTCTACCTGAAGCCCCAGTTCAAAGGAATATCTTCATTGAGCAGAACATCACTCAGGCTGCCTTTGGGGCAGTACTCTGTCACAATGGCAACATTTGGCACTTCTATACAACCTCCAATGAATTTGCAGAGATTGGGATGGTCGAGTTCCCTGTGAAAATCAACAGAAATCACAGTGCATCAGCAATTTACACAGATATCCCTCCTGCTTTTGTAGGGTGACTGGAAAACTAGAAAAGGAAATCTAGAAAGGGGGTCAGGAGACCAGCATGATTGAACAAGGAGCTTCTAGCGGAGTTCAGATGGAAGAGAAAGGTCCATGAAATGTGGAAAGACAGACAGGCCACTTGGGAAGAATACAGGAATGTGGTCAGAGCATGCAGGGATGCGACAAGGAAGGCCAAGGCCCACCTGGAATTGAATCTAGCAAAGGATGTCAAAAAAAACAAGAAGCGCTTCTTCAAGTACGTCAATAGCAAACGGAAGACTAGGGACAATGTGAGGCCACTGCTGAATGAGGTGAGTGTCCTGGTGACGGAGGATGCAGAGAAGGCAGAGCTACCAAATGCCTTCTTTGCTTCTGTCTTCAGTGCCAAGGCAGGCCCTCAGGAATCCCAGGCCCTGGAGGTAAGAGAAGAAGCCTACAGAGAGGATGACTTTCCCTTGGTTGAGGAGGACTGTGTGAGGGATCGCTTGAGCAATCTGGACGCCCACAAATCCATGGGCCCCAGTGGAATGCACCCACGAGTGCTGAGGGAGCTGGCAGATGTCATTGCTGAGCCACTCTCCATCATCTTTGAGAGGTCCTGGAGGACAGGAGAGGTGCCCGAGGACTGGAGAAAGGC